TTGACCATTGCAAGCTACCTGGCCTTGAAGCTACAAGCTACTAGAGTTAAGCTGGAAATAGTACTGGGGAAACTAAGGCAGAGCACCTGCTGGATTGTATCTTTCCATAGAGTGGCAGTCTAATGCCATGTTACAGAGCTAAATTCATACTGTTGAAGAGATCACTGATAAAATCTTTTCATCAACAGAAAAGACTTTTTTTTTTTGGCTGTCTTAGGAAAAAAACTTATGTTTGAATGGACTTTCTAAACCATCCTTTCTGGTCTGGCCCTTTTGTGCTCAGTCCAGCCCTGGGACTCCCCTGCTGTGGGGCTAAACAGCTCTGCAGTGTTACATGCTTGCTGGCTGCACCCCATGGTTTGTGCTTTTGCTGTTGATCATAGATCTTGGCTATCCTATAAAATTACAACTACCTATGAGGTGAATTATTCACTTCTACAGCTGAACAGAAACCACATTGATTTGATTTACTGTCTTCTATTTTGTCTATTGACTTTTGGGTAGTCCCAACAGCGTGTTCCCATAAAAGGCCATACAGAACTTTGTACTCAGTTTAACAATTTCATTTACAAAGGGTGTTCTTGCTTCCATGTTCCCTTGCCAAGTTACTTCAGGTATGAAAAACTAAATTTAATTTCTATTATTAATAGAGCACAAAGAAGATATACGTTGCACAACTCTCTCCCTGCTTTGTTATTTGGGGTGCCAAAATTGCAGTATGCATCTGGGAACAACTAGGGAGTGGAAGAGTTCCCATCTGACAGATCTTAGCTGTTAAAAGGCAAAAAGAACACAGATGGTTGAAACCAGATTTCTGTATAAAATGAGCAATTAGTTTTCACCTGCATATCTAAGCAGATAAGTTTGTTGCAGGTACCAGTACAAAGTAGACCATTAAAAAGGCTTCTGAGAGAAACGTGTTTTCACATGTTACAGCCACTGACAAGCAATATCACACCAAATACCCAGGGCTCACAACTTCCATATAGGAGGGACTGTGTAAGGAATGCTGCTATGGACTCAGATTTTATAGTGTGGTGTTGCCTTTTGAAAGGCAGATACTGAGAATGGATAGGCTTTCAAGTGAAAAATCAGTAATTCCTCCCTCTATCCTATCACTTACAGAAAGAACTAATGTGTTTAGAATGCAAGCAGAGCATATATTGAGGCAGCCTTGTTATCCCCAAGACGTTTTACAGGTGTTATCACTATCATTCTCCCTGTCATAACAGGGGAAGAAAATCATCCAACTTCCTTGTTTTGTGTGTTCCTCATTTGTGGTAACTCAAATACCAGAACTGTATCTGCAGTCAAAGAAGAGTGGGAGTTTACCTTTCCTATTATGGAATAGTCTGTTCCTCTCTCCTCATGCTGGCCTAGGAAACCTAAGTGACCCTTTGTACAGTTTAAGGAAGCCCAGGTGAGCCTTCGTAAATGTCTCCGGGACGTTAATGTCTGGCTGACCATATCCCTGGTCTTCTAACTCACCTGGCGTTTCCCAACAGCAGTCTTTATCTTCTAAGCAGCAGATTACCTGTTCTTTCAGTCCCCTCTGTATTCCTGCAGATGAGCTAAAATCTAATTCCACACAGAGCTCCCAGCCAAAGAAGAGGGCACTATTCTCTTTCACTCATTGCGAAAGAACTCCTACGCTCATTTGGACTTGAATGAAATTTTACCCATGCATTATCCTTCCCTTGTCCTGTTAGACAATTTTCTCAGTTTCATGGAAGTGCCCCGGAGTCCATGGTCTTTCTGTTATTTCTACCTGTGGTTTATAAAAATGTATCAACAGAAGTTAATTATCAGTAGCAAGTGGTGCAGGTGAAAGTCAGGACTCTAAAACTTGGAAAGATGTTCTCATCACACCTCAATGTGAATGAGTTCAGAGAGGTGAATTCTGGGCAGATTTTCTTTTCTCCAGAAGTGACTAGAGGGCAATTCAGACCTGGGCCATAAGCCAGGTGGGCTTTTGGTGTGTTTCACACACAAAACTGTGGCAGAAATGTCTGAAAACTTTAGGATGAGCAGAATGGCTTTAGAAAGCACCTGAGGTCATGAGCTATATATTTTCTCCATTAAGCTTCCCAAGGATACAACAGAGGTAAGCTTTTGGTGGACAGTAAACAAGGGAGAGATGGGGGGCAAATTTCCTTCCAGATCCCTAAGTCTAGCCTTTTGATAACTTCAAGCCTTACCTATAAAGAAAAACAATTACTGCTCAGTAGAATACTTCGAATTCTTCTCTCTGGTTTAATACTGCATATAAAACACAGGCAAATCTGAGAGGAAAAAATGTTTTGTGAGCATTTTGCTATTATATGCCTTTGACTTCCCAAGCCCTAGATACAGAGAACGAGATGTCTCATACGTCACACCTTGTGCAGTTCTAGGATATGACTTCTCTCCTTCCACGGAAGCTGAGGCATCACATATAAAACAGGTCAGTTGAATTGCCTCTAGCAATTGGCTATAACACAGCATCAGACAACCGTAATCATGTGAGAACGTTTCATTGGACATGAACCTTAGTGTTAGGGTCTAATTTTCAGAAACAATTCACCAGCTTGCAAGTACTTAGCATTCACACAAGCAGGCCCCAGAGGCTAAGGAAGGATGATACCAAATCAATAGCTCTCTTTAGACTAGCATCCACTTCTCACTGGGGAAACTTTCCTTCTCACCGTTATACTGTGTATTCTTTCATAATATACTCTCAGCAGCTGCTGAACTAATCGAATTAATCTATCTGGAAAGGCATGTACAACAACAGTGCCAAATCTAATGAAGCAAGAAGACACAGTTTCTACAATGTTTGATTTACTTAAAAAGAGACTACGTTTATTCCATGATTTGATTTCAAACATGTTATGGGCTCCCCTAAAAATGCCCAAAATTGGTTGCTTCCAAGCTAACTGGAAATGAAATGTTTTCAGTGCATTGACTTGTTATTGAGAGGATAAGAAAGAAGAAAAATTTAATCTGTGGCCCAGGGAAAAGGTAAACTTAATGTATAAGCTGTATGTAAACAGATTGAGTGTTGGCATTGTGTAAAACTTAGATATATAGCAGAAAACTAAGAGGATTTGCACAAAGAAAATTAGAATACCAAGTCAGAGAACACCTCTGATCTAGTATTTATGCCCGTCCTTGAAGACGATATGTCCCAAACTTTGTCTTATCAGTTTGATAAGACCAAGACGTAACTATATGCAACTTCTGGAACATAAAGTTCACACAAATGTGAGATCTCCAATTCCCTTCTTTTTCTCCACTTCAATCATTAAAATGTACTTTCTGCTCTACTCCCTTGATAAGCTTTAATTGAAGATAGTATGAGCTTCTATGAGTTTCACATTGTGGCTTTCTGTAATGACATCTCTTGCCTTTTATTGGTAAAATGCAAAATTATCTTCCAAAAAGGTCCTTCCTCAAAACGTCGAACTCTGTTGTTTGTTGCCTCATACCCGCAGTGTGCTGCATGCGAGCACTGTGTATGCAAGAACATAGAGCGATGGATTTGGAGTTCACATCAATGTCTTTTGAAGTTCGTACCATTAATGCCATGTCAACCGTTGCCCTGATATTCAGGTGTCTGATGTCACACATACAGAAAAGGGGGAGAGCACTCCCTAGAAAACGACCATAGAATCCCAGACATTGACAAAATTAAAAATTACCAGGTGATTAGCCACCTCTGAGCTCAGTTCTGGCAGAGCTAGTTTAAAGCTGGCTTGGTTGTGTCTGCTTAACATTGCAGGGCAGGAATACTCTATAGAGTCTCTCTGCCTTTCACAACAGGTCTGCTAATAATTATTTTTAAGGTCTCACAGTTTGAGAGCCTGTAGAGGCTAAGAAGTGTCTTCTCTCGTTAATGTTGAGTGGCCTGGTGACACAAGGTAAACGCTACCCTCCTCAAATGACTATCATGGAAAGGGAATCTGCAGCACTATAGGTGAGCGCCTTTGATATGGCGGCACAGCTCCTGTTCACGCAAAGAAATGTGATTCCTTTTCCCTCAGTTTAAATAAGTGCTAGTTTAAGGAAAAATATGTGAAAAGGGGAATCCGTGCTGAGCTGAAGGAATTCAGTTCCCACCATTACTATCGCAGCCTTCTCACAAAGGCTCTCCAGAAGCAGTTCACACCATCTATTTTTATTACCAACTGCAAAGAAGGTAATAGCTTGCATTAGGGTCATTTTGACGGCGGGTGGAAGGCCTAAACTGTGATATTCAGGCTGCACGATCTGCTAGAACAGCTTTTTCACACTCTGTGCCTAATTCTCTATTGCAATTAAACTTCAGTTTACCACAATGAAAACCAGCCTTCAACTGGGAATACAACAATTTGTATCTCTTTGCACAGTCCAATGTAAAGGAAAATTTGTGTGAATAAGAATCTGCTCGTGTACACCCTAAATAGACACAACTGAAAAAGAAAGCAGATCACTCTTGAAACAAGTGGTTATTTGCTGTTCTCTGCCTAAAGTTATTTGTGTGCTTTTTCTCTTTTTTTAACTGAAGAGCAGAAAAGGATGATGTCAGGGGGTTTTATCCCTATTTTTTGTTTATTTTTAGAAGTGGACCAACAAATAACCGTGACCTAAATTCTACAAGACAGAAGTGCAGGGACAAGACAATTTCAGCAGAACTGTACACATACATCTTCTTTAAAAGCAGACTACAAAAAACTAATTCACCAATACAGCGAAAATGAACAGTACGGTCTAATATTTGAGACAGACACTGAAGTCAACCTTTTAACTTTGTCTTCATACAGGGATAATGTGGATATAGCATTAAAATTCAGACATAAATCTGTCAAAGGCAAAAAAGATAACAGCACTTTTAAGTGAACATCAGCTTTATACTGTCAGTAAAGCGAAGCTGGAATCTGGACGGAACAAGCTTCGAACTGGGCATGTGCGGACCCTGCCATCTCCTGTATTTAAATGGAAGCCGCTGCGGCTGCCCTTTGCTAAGCTGAAGATGGAGTGAAGCAATCTGAAGCTCTAGTGAGAAACTCTGCACTGGATCTCACATTATTCCAGAAAACCTGACAATCTGCTCTCTACACACACACAAAAGGTAAATTGGCTGACTTAAATTCAGAGGAGAGCTTTTCTTTCTTTGTTTTTGCTTAGATTTTGTTCTCCTGAATAATCAGCCCATTCAAAGAGGGATCTCCTGTCCCTCTGAGGACCCCAACGGCACCAAAATTGTGGAGTCCTTCGATGCATGGAATGACTCGGAAGCCAATGCCTACACACAGATGGACCTGCCTCTTAGAGCCCCAACAGTAAGTGTTTTCTGTCACTAACAGCTGTAGCAAGTAGTTCTGCTGGCAAAGCTGGCATTTATAGAACTGTAAACGGCCATTTAAGGTGCATGTACACATATAATGCTGTAATACAATAATGAACAACAGAATGAAAACTTTAAAATCTTCTTTTTATTTCTTTAACTATTTATTTGCTGCAGAAAGGACTGTAGAAGCAGTGCTTTTCAGCAGTTACATGGGCAGAAGACAGGGAGGAATGTCTAATGGCAAAGTACACCAAATACGGTGCAGACTGTCAAAACATGTTCTTGTGTATTAAACAGCTGTTTAGCAGTTCAAACACAATGCTCTCTTGTGTTATTATTCAAGATGGAAATCTCCATCATTTCTGTAATAGTCTCTAAGCCCAGTGGAATGCTTAGGTAAATGTTAAAGAGTTTTTATTGCAGTTATCCAAAATAGCTGTTCAGAAGGTTTTCCCAGGTTAAGTTCTATCACAGCTCTTTCTCAGTTGTTAAATACTAAACAGAAAGAAATTTTCCTTAGAAGTGTGAAGGTGAGAATCTGTTGTGAAGCCACTTCAGGATGAAATTTATTTGGGCATACTAAAAATACTCTCCATCCTACCTCACAAGCCCAAAACAAAGGAGTTCAGAATTCCTCTTCCTTGTTGTGTTTCTCCGTATACTATTAGGATTATAAAGTTCTGTTCACTTACTGTTTATAAGAAAGTCTGTTTAAAAGTAAAGAATAAAAAAAGACTCAAGCTATTTTTTTAAAGTTTTTAAAATCTGAAATTCAACTTAAAATCTTGACATGGTCACACCAGGTATTTTGGCATGGCTTACATAACACAGTGGATACTTAAAAATTGTACGCAAGTTTCAAACACTCCAAAAGTTTTTATGCATATAGGATGTTGCATTGAGTGTTTGTTTGATCTTAATTTATAATGAAGGACCAGTAAATATTTTATTATTTGCATAATAAAAATGCAGTCTGTTTATTTATTTAATAAAAACTGGATGTGCACAGTGTTTTACAGGAAAATAAACAGAGAAATGTCCTGAGCCAAGGCGCTTACAGACTAAATTAGATGGATAACACATGAAAGAGGATAGCAGAACATAGCAGTGAGGGCGAAGAGGAACTGGAGAGTGCATGGCAAAATGAAAAAGGATGCTGGGGACAGAGTGATTTACATTGGGAAATTAAAAATGGATTTTTTCCTTATTCTGCTGAAAGAGGTAATGAGCTGTCCGTTTTCTCTCCCCAGGTCAAGTGACTGTATTTACAAACTTTTGCATTTTAATTTGACACAAAGTTTGGTTTAAGAGAGTTTCAGGACTGAAAGCAATATGTGCTGCTGTGGTTGAGGTTAAATCCGGAAGATAGGATACAAAATCTGCTACCCAAATTGCTCGACGGGACAAACACCATCTATGGCAAGCCCTGCTGCCTACTGGAAAGAGGGCTTAGCAGATGGCGTCACCCTGCTGAAACCATAATTGAGGTGGGATTACACGCCTCTTGGTGTTGCCTGTCATCATAGAGCAAGTGCATACAGAGGCAAGCTCAGAAATCAGAACAAGGAACTGTGAAGAAAAATAAGGGCTATCAGTTGTTTGAGGCTTCTTGTAGGTAGGCAGTACAAACATTGCACCTAGAAACCCTAGGAAATTACAGTATTTCTGTTCTGATAATTTTTCTAAACTATGTGATTTGTTGCAATGTAAAAGGCCTAACACCACCATTGGCTGTGTAAGCCATGCTGTGTAAATAAGCAGCTTCACTACCTGTGTTTGTAGGGAAATTAAGAACAAAGAAACCTGGTAGATTGCCAAAGTCAATGAGGGACTGTTCAAATCCCCAAATGACCTTATGAGGATTTCTTCCTTCCCTGTGAGTATAAACTAAACCTTGCTTTATACTCTTGCCATTGGGAGAATGAGGAGCAGCCTACATCGAATATGATTTATATTCAGTACAAGTATTTACATGCATGGCCTTGCTCCTGCCTCATCACTGATAGCTTTAGTAGGACTTCAGTAATCAATGTCTCCAAGTGAACAGAAATTAAGTGATGTGACTTTTTTCTTACTCTGAAAAAGGACAGATTTTATTCCCCAATAATAGTTGAACTTTGTTCTTTGCATATTGTCCTTTTTTCACTTATGCACAAATATTTTTCTTATGCTATGGGCAGTGGGGGAGAGGGTTGGACTTTCAAAATGGTATGTGTTCTGGTAAAAGTTATTCAGAGGTGAGCTGGTTTGGTTGGTTTGGGTATTTTTTTTAATCAATTACGAAATAACTGTTTAGAAAACTTTCTCTTTAGGAAAATGTCTGTAATAAACAGATTCCCAAGACAGAATAGGTGCAGGCATCAAATATTGCTGACCTGGACTTCTTTCAACGTGGGCAAATCACTTAGGAATTGTGGTTTTGTCCTGGACTGCAAATGAATTCCTTTATCCTTTTAACTCACTTCAGACCAGTGTCCTGACAAACTTCGTGGTGAAATACTGGTTCTGCCCTACACTGATGTTCTTGGGGACTGATTTATTTTTACACCTTCTCTGCTTGCACCAAGCCTTAGCAGAAGGGACTATGCGCTGCTCTCTTCCCCCAGAAGCAGGCTGGCTCCTCAGAGTGGCCCTCCAGGAAGAATTGTGCCTCCCTTGTAACGAGCTGTGGCAGCAGGCCATAAATAGAATAACGAGGCTCCACATTGTGCTGCAGCCTCCACAGAGAAGGCCAGAACAGCAAGAGTTTAGACATGTTTATCTATCAAACATTTTTTTTCCTCCAAGCTCCCAAAAAGCATCTCAAGTTCATAAGTCTCAGTCAAGTTTACTGAACACAGACTGAGAACAGTCAGTTCTGGTTTAGCTGTTTTGTTGCAGGCAGTAGACAAGGATTCCTTTAGGGAGAACAATGAGCACTTTAAGGCAGCAAACTGCATTAAACTCAGCTGTTTCCCTCTACTATTTCCCAAGGACACACTTAAACCTGTGGGAAGGAAATACATTAACGAAGAGGAACTTCATAACTTTGTAACTTCTTGCCACTGACTCTATTGAGGCAAATGATAGAGTAGGATTTAGAAAAGGATTAAACCTATATATGGAGGATAAAAATATCCTCCATTAAGATTATCCTTTCAAAGGGATAATAACCCTGTTTTAGGGTACAAATCAACTGCTAAAATTCTATACTGAAAATGAAATTCCCACATCACTGTTTGTTATGCATGTTTCACAGTTCTGCGAAACACCCAGTCATGGCTAAAGGCAGGCTAGTGTTTTGTAAGGAATGCTGGTCTGAATCAGTGTGGCAAGTTCCCAAGTTGTTTACGACACCAAAATTATCCATCTGATTCTGCAAAACTATGGTGTAAATAAATAATAAATAAGAAATGACATGTCTATCAGAGACAAAAAAAAATTTTTTTACAGTTCTAGCAAAAGCCCAGTTTTCATATACATCCAAGCAATATTACAAAACCTGCTTTTAAGGTTGACTAAAATGCCATCCTGGGCTAGAAGATATGTTCTCCAACTGACCCTCGGTACCTATTGTGAAGAAATTTTGTTACATTACAGTTACTACCTTGATGTCTTCCACAGCTTCCATGACAATTTTGTTTGCTTGCTTGAGAAACGTGCAATGTTTATATTGATTGACTGTCAGGAAGCCAGTGCTTCCCCATGAATTGTTTCCTACAGAATTAATACCGATCTAAGCCACCCACAGCACAGTAGGCCTGTGGGTATACTGGCACCCAGTGGTCCGGAGTCTCAGGTACAAGCGTCTTTTATTTGTTGACTCAGGAAAGCTGTAGTCCATTGTCCATCCACTGGAGAATGTCCAACTTCTTAGATTCCAGTTCAGTTTCTTTGTGCATTTGGTGATGTTTTGAACCACTTTACACTAAATAAACTGTTGTCATATCACTTGGAAGAGAAATAATGAAGTGCTAGTGTTACCTTAATTTTTCATATCTTTGTTATTAAGTGTTTATAGAAAGAAGACTGAACAGGAAAACATGCAAGGCAACAATGCTATGTATTATTGATGCAATTGAAATAGTTGTTCAGAGTATCCTCAAAGGACAACTACTACAGTGGGGACTGCAATAGTGGGATTTGTATTATCCCTTGCCAACTAAGTACTCATAGCATGGGATGACAACAGAAGACAGAGACTAAACAAGGCTAATCTGCTCAAGAAACTGAATAGAGAAAAGCTTTGGGAATTGTCTGATTTCTTGATTATCCTGCTGACCTGATTTCCTTTTTCTCCCTATTGTTTCTTTTGACGTACAATTCCCTTAGAAGATCTACAGCTGAACTCGATACAGACATGTTTTCACCTTCTAGTAAGGAATCTGTATGTATGCAACTTAGTGATGAATTCGAAGTGCTTAGATCTGATCTAATGCCTTGTTGGTCAACTAGCAGCTTTCTTTGACTTAGAGAAGCTTTCAGTCAGATACGTATTTCCAATAAAAACAGTGAAATTACTTTTTTTTAATAATTGACTTTTTCCTTTTAGACAATAGCCAGAGTTGGACCCTGTGATAAAAATCCCAGGCCTACAGGAAGTCCATGATAAAAAGTGAATTTATTCCTCTTTGCCACTGACCTTTTCTTTGCCCATATATTTATTATTATTTATGTCCTATCACTGCTCCAATATAAGTCTTCTACTGTCCCTGAAATAACCTTTCCTCTCTTGTGATTTCTCTGTGTATTTATATTTATTTTTAAATTTTTTCTTGTCCTTAGTCCCCCACAAATTTCATTCAAATTAAAGCCATTTTAATCTGTTCTTTGTAGCCAAAACAAGCTCCTTTAGTTGCTTCATTTCTCTTACCTTGAACTAGGTTTGATTAAATGGATAGCTACAGGGAAAAACATCAGAAATCTCCATTCCATTAATAATCATCATTAACTCTCTGTAGAACAGCTGTTAGAAAATGTTCTAGCCACAAGGCTAACGAAGAAAAAAATCAAACCAAAGAACACCTGATCTCATTTACTCAAAACAGTTTTTATCTCAGACTCTCCCTCCCCACTTGCTATTAGTACAGGATTTTTTTTTTAATTATTATTTTACTAGCAGTATGTTAAACACAGCAATTTCTGCATAGGCAAGGTGCCCATTGATGTTGATGATGTGATGTCAGCTTATACTTTGCTGCAGGAACCTGAACAGTAAATGTCATGATGCTGTCATTCAGTTAGTGTTTCAACCTTAGTGTTTTGCTCCAATTATAATAACAGCCAGAGCCACGTTTTTTTCTAAGATCAGAGTATTTGTCCAGCATTTCATTGCTGCTAACGTAGAAACCCAGGGAGCATGCTCTACTTGTTGAGGATTGCTGTGGGCAGATCTTCAGCACACAAGCAAAAAGACAGTCTCTTCCAGAATTCCAGAGACTCCTGGGGTTCACCTTTTGCTACTGGCACATTGGTTTTAAATACACACTGTCTCTAATAACTTCAGCCCAGTCTCACAGATGTATTCAGAAGTAATGTCTGCCTCTTTTGTCTGAAAAGATACATTTCCTTTGGTAACTGGGGTGTTGTCAAAGGCATTTCAGAGTTGCACTCTAATGGTGAATGACAGCTGCTATCACAATTGTGGCATAAAAGGGAAAACTTCATATCTACCTCTGTGCACTTTCCTCCTTTGCTACCAGAAACCTCCCTTTTCCTGGGAAGGTATGACTGCTTGTGACAGCTGTACCACTGCCTGCCAGTACTAGTGATTGGAAAGACCACATCCAGCTTCATAGCATTATTTAAGCCTGGTACAGGCACAGAACTTGGTACAGGTAATTCCCTTGTCCTGGATCCTAGCCCACAGCCAAGTTGACAGTATTCACAGCAGGTAGGCTACAAACAACTCAAACTGTTTCCTGGGCCTTTCTCAACCCTGGTGTGATTCTTGTAGCTCAGGCGCTAAGGAATGCCATGGCTGTAGCTTTGCAGGCTTCAGCTATAAGAAGTGGTCATGGCACGCCATTGCAGAGGGAGTGCCACCTTTGGATGAGAAAAGCCTATCTATGGAGACAGAATCTGTCCATGCAGATGAATGAAGATGGGGCTTGGTCTTTTTTATTACAATACTAGGTGATTGGAGCTGATGCCAAGACACGTTAAGGACAGTGGCAGTTGCACAGAGGTGAGTGTTTAAGTCTCCTTGCCTGACTTTATTTTCAAAAGGCAGTAGAACAGTGATGGTTTGGACAGCTGTTCTTCTCTCCTCTTCAATATCTATCCAGTCACCCTGCTTTCTAGGTGCAGCCTTATTGTTTGCTTCATTACTAATCTGAGGTCACTTGACCTAAAATGTGTTTGTGGCTTTTGACACTTAACTAAAAAATGTTTAAAAATTATTAGTATTATTATTTAAAATGCTGTAGTCTTCAGACTTGGCTACTGAATTTTGCTAGGAGTTATTAGTTGATTAAGGCACAAATGCTTTCATCAAGTGCTTTATCACATGCTTCACAGAGAGTAAAATACCTTCATTCAGTGCAGAGTGAGAACAAAAGTGGCATGGAAACCAGGCATAAGGTATAAAGTATTTGTGGTGTAGGTTTTCTGATCCTTAACTCAGTTTCCGAAAGACTCTTTTTCAATGCTGCCAGGCTTTTGACAACTAAGTCTTGAGGGCAGCTAGCAATTCAGTGTTATTCAGTGACAGAAATGAAATAGCCGTACTACTAAAGGAATAAATGCATGTTTATCCATAGAAAATCATTTCTACTTAGTTAGAGAAGTGTAGCCAGTAATGTCAGAGGACAACAGAAATCATACTTCATAGATACAGAAACTTTCCTGAAATGAAAACTACAGAAAATTTACTTGTTAAGTACTGCTTTACTTGATGTCAGATACAATACAAAGGGTCACTTCCTCTCTCTTTTTTTCTTCTATACCCCTATCTTTCTTTTGGGAGAGAATAGATTGCATTTCTTCACCAAAATTCTAAATCAACAAGAAACATATAAACCGCCCTTTGACCTTTGCAATGAAGATGATCAACAACAAATGTAATTTGAAAGCAGTTAGCTTATTCTGACTTTTTTGCTTGCTGTCTTTTTGCATTCTTGACCATATTGCCTTCTAGAGAAGCACATGCCACCTTATTTGGTAAAATCTGACAGTATACCTACAACCTTTTGTTTACTCCACAGAAGATGACAGTGCAAGATGTTCCTGGTGCCTTTCCCACAGTGGATGTCCCAGATCATGCCCATTATACAATTGGAATAGTCATTCTTATAGTGGGGATCACAGGAAGTCTGGGTAATTTCCTGGTCATCTATGCTTTCTGCAGGTATCTTTCTTTTGGATTTTTTTAAAATATTCATATTTATGAACTTTAACAGTACCTTGACTATGCTCTGTAAATGCAGTGCCAGCATACTATCAGACTACTATGCAGGCATATGAAAAATGCACCAAGAGACACTGCTGTAGGAAAAAAAAAATGAAAACCTGCCATTTCCCACTGACGACTTGCCATTAACCATGGCCATAGCAAAGTTGTGAGCAAAATTGCAAAGAATCACCCAGATATGCCAATCAATAGTACAACAGCCAAAGCAGAAACCTTCCAGTGACTTTCTTTCTACGAGCTGAACTGTGTCTGCACCGGACCAATGGGATGTTTTGCACCTGTGCCTCCCATTTATCTTCTCTATTTTAGATGTTTCCTTCCTCCTGCTGCTTACTAGTCTGTTTCTTTACACCCTTTGTTCCTTACTGGCCATGTCTCCTATTTTCACATTTTCTAACACTTGGTTTATTTGCTTTTAACTAAAGCCACAATCCAACTTTTATATCTGAAGGAAACTTGACTCTCTGACAACAATGTGGTATTTTCACCATTCCTGTTTCTGTTTTGTCATACTGGGGCAGAGCATTGGCATGACATCCAGGCCAGTGAGCTTCTACTTCCTGATTAGTCTTTAGGCACTACTGTAACAAATCAAAATAATAGCAATTACATGATAATTAGGCTCTGTTAACTTAAATCACTGCAGTGTGGATGCAAGTAGCCTGGGTGTCAAGCTTGTATTTATGTGGAGCATTAAAGGGTAGGTTTCAGCATGTGCATTCAGTGTAGATACTAACACTTAAGTGTGAATGACATGGCCTTAAGAACACAAGTGTTGGCATGCAGACCAGATACATGAGGATGAAGTACACGAGCTAGCTTAGCTGTTTGGCTGGTCCCATACAGCAAATTCGGTCATGGCAGTTGCAGTTCCACTGGAGGACGCAGCTTGTCTCTATTTGAAGATGTTATGAAGACAGAAAGCGATATGGATAGCAAAGTAGCAAGTACATCAGATGTTTGCAGAACACATCAGATGCCTACAAAGCAGTCTCGAGTAACAGCAAACTGTAAGATAGCCAGCTGCCTGAGACAGAACTATGTTCAGTAACTTTGCAGACTACTGAACAAATACAAGTGGCCTATAAGCACCTACTAATAATATTTCCCTGCTCCTAAACTGGCAGAGAGGGGACAGTAGTCCTAGTGATTGATTCTGGATCAGTGCAAAGAACCCATCATTTATTCTGGTATTTTTCAATTGTGTTTAAGACGGAAGATTTGAGAAAGGAGCTAAAAAGTTACACCGAGCCCCAAAGGGAGGAGTTCTCAGTTGAGCTTTCACGTGTACCCTTTACAACACTGTACTATAATACTGTGAATAACATATACAGGCAGGATATGCTGAAGGCTGGCTATTGCTCTCTTTACAGCCAGTGTCCAGGCTGGTGAAACGAGTGTCATAGAGAAGAATTGATGTAAACCAAAATGCTTGATGTGGTACATAGTGAGTTTGCTTAATCCCTGTATTTGGAAATCACTGTTGATCTTCTCAGCAGTGGAAAATGTGCTCTCTTCCCCCTGCTTAACACGACCCAGATCCAGCAAATCCATAGAGTACATCAACTTTAATTTCCTGTTAATCGTGGACATGCAGTGCACTGGGTCAGAATATTTAAAGAACAAATGACTTATCCCCATCACTGAGCTGGTTATCAAAACAATCCTCTGAAGTGCACAGGACTATAAATGTGTAGAACTGACCCTTGTTTACGAGCTCTGGTGAGGGAAATGAGAAACACTCTGCTCCAGCTTGCTACGTAGCATGTCTTGGTATTTGTGAAGCTGCCAAGGCTCACAGGAAAGAGTAACAACATAATTAACAGTGCAGCAACGTTTAGCAACATTCCTTCTGATCTTTGTAGGAGTAGGAGCCTTCAGACTCCAGCCAACATATTCATCATCAATCTAGCTATTAGCGACTTCCTGATGTCCATTACACAGTCTCCAGTTTTTTTCACCAACAGCCTCCACAAACGCTGGATTTTTGGTGAGAAAGGTTTGTATATGTTTTTTTCTAAGAAATCACTAAGTATATTCTTAACATAGTGGCAGTTAATCTACTATTTCCCTATCCTCAGATAAACTTGCAATGTTGAGGACATTTCTCAACATTGTTTCAATGTTGACACAAATGTTTCTTTGAACATTTTTGTCTGCCTGCAATAAATACATTCCCACCATGGAGAGGAGAATTACACGTATGAGATACAAAGGCAACACTGGCAACGTAAGACACATGACTAGTCTTTTTGCCAGCATTCTTCCTCAATCACCTCACAATTTAGTTACTGGCAGAGTCCTATGACGAAGAAGCGCTGCTGTCTGGTGCACCAAGCTCCTCTAAATAACCTGCTCTGGGACTTGCATCTGGGAAGGTGAGGTAAGAAAGCCTGGCAAAAGTGAGTTTCACAACAGAAGTATTAACTGAACGCTTCCCGTGCAGCAAGAAAATGTGCAATGAAAATGCTTTCATTCTTCCTCTATAACTGTAGTAAAAGGAAGTCCACTCTTTGCCTCTTGAGCCGGTATTGACAGAGAGGAAGGTCAGAGAAGTAAAGTTGCTATTTTGATTTCTGATGACCAAGAGCACATTTTTTTTTAGTTCCATGAAGTGTTCAATTGTATACGTGTTAAAATCAAAACCAAACCCAAACCTCTGTTTCTAATCATTAGGTGGTTTGAATAAAATCACTCATTAATATATTCATAGTCTGCATATTTACTCCAGTCATGCTGACCTTGAGATATAAACGGTTTCATGATATCAAAGTACCTATAAGCCATTGTTAAGCAAAGCAGCTGTTCCTACAGGAGCTGCAGTAAAACTGGAGTTAAACAAGATATTAATGAACTGCTGAAATGATGCCACTAGAAACATCAAAAATCAATGAGTGAAAATATGTTAAGTATCACTGTCTCCAGCAGTTCAAGCAGACATAATCTTCAAAGTTTATTTCCATGGATAATGTAATTAGCAAGACAGACAGCAGCTTTGAAATAGCATTACAACTGCAGGAAAACTGAAGTTCCATTGCTTTATAAAATCCAGAAGACAGTAGCTCACAAGAAACACAGACTTGAACTCTCCCAGAAATTAATTAGCATGGATAGATTAATTTCACTGCTACTTCTGTCATCTTCATTGAAAGGCTGTGAGCTGTATGGCTTCTGCGGAGCTCTTTTTGGCATCACATCTATGATCACTTTGATGGTGATTGCCTTGGACAGATATTTTGTCATCACAAACCCTATGGCTTCTGTTGGAGTGACGTCTAAGAAGAAGGCTCTAATGATCCTGGTAGGAGTCTGGCTGTACTCTTTGGCTTGGAGCCTCCCGCCCTTCTTTGGATGGAGTAAGTGAAATGGAATAAAAGTTTTTTCCCTTCATATCATTGAATTAAAGACCGGTTACAGATACAGAAGAGGGTTGAATTAATGGCCTGCATATTAGGCTTGAATATATCAATTTGAAGAAAACTGATAAAACATGTGTCGTGGTTTTAGGCTGATCCAGTAACTAA